TTACATTTAGGTCTCTGATCCATTTTGAGTTTATTTTTGTGTATGGTGTTGGGAGTGTTCTAATTTCATTCTTTTACATGTAGCTGTCCAGTTTTCCCAACACCATACACAAAAATAAACTCAAAATGGATCAGAGACCTAAATGTAAGACTGGACACTATAAAACTCTTAGAGGAAAACATAGGAAGAACACCCTTTGACATAAGTCACAGCAAGATCTTTTTTGATCCAACTCCTAGAGTAATGGAAATAAAATCAAAAATAAACAAATGGGACCTAATGAAACTTAAAATCTTTTGCAAAGCAAAGGAAACTACAAACAAGACGAAAAGACAACCCTCAGAATGGGAGAAGATATTTGCAAACGATTCAACAGACAAAGGATTAATCTTCAAAATATATAAACAGCTCATGCAGCTCAATATTAAAAAAACAAACAACCCTGGGCTTCCCTAGTGGCGCAGTGGTTGAGAGTCCGCCTGCCGATGCAGGGGACATGGGTTCGTGCCCCAGTCCGGGAAGATCCCACAGGCCGCTGAGTGGCTAGGCCCGTGAGCTATGGCCGCTGAGCCTGCGTGTCCGGAGCCTGTGCTCCGCAACAGGAAAGGCCACAACAATGAGAGGCCCACATAACACACACACAAAAAAAACCCAGTCAAAAAATGGGCAGAAGACCTAAGTAGACATTTCTCCAAAGAAGACATACAGATAGCCAAGAAGCACATGAAAAGCTGCTCAACATCACTAATTATTAGAGAAATGCAAATCAAAACTACAGTGAGGTATCACCTCACACCAGTTAGAATGGGCATCATCAGAAAATCTACAAACAACAAATGCTGGAGAGCGTGTGGAGAAAAGGGAACCCTCTTGCACTGTTGGTGGGAATGTAAATTGATACAACCATTATGGAGAACAGTATGGAGGTTCCTTAAAAAACTAAAAATAGAATTACCATATGACCCAGCAATCCCACTCCTGGGCATATACCCAGAGAAAACTATAATTTAAAAAGGCACATGCACCCCAATGTTCATTGCAGCACTATTTACAATAGCCAGGTCATGGAAGCAACGTAAACAGCTATCGACAGACGAATGGATAAAAAAGTTGTGGTACATATATACAATGGAATATTACTCAGCCATAATAAGGAACGAAATTGAGTCATTTGTTGAGGCGTGGATGGATCTAGAGACTGTCATACAGAGTGAAGTAAGTCAGAAAGAGAAAAACAAATATCGTATATTAATGCATGTATGTGGAACCTAGAAAAATGGTACAGATGAACTGGTTTGCAAGGCAGAAACAGAGACACAGATGTAGAGAACAAACGTATGGACACCAAGGGAGGAAAGTGGTGGGGGGTGGGGGGATGGTGGTGGTGTAATGAATTAGGAGATTGGGATTGACATATATACACTAATATATATAGATAACTAATAAGAACCTGCTGTATAAAAAAATAAAATAAAATTCAAAAAAATAAAAATAAAAAAGTATACAGTTCAGGGACTTCCCTGGTGGTCCAGTGGTTAACACTTCACCTTCCATTGCAGGAGGGACAGGTTCGATCCCTGGTTGGGGAAGCTAAGATCCCACATGCCTTGGGGCCAAAAAAAAAAAGCATGAAACAGAAGCAATATTGTAACAAATTCAATAAAGACTTTAAAAATGGTCCACATCAAAAAAAATCTTTAAAAAATAAAGCATACAGTTCAGTGATTTTTACTAAAGTTGTACAACCCCATTATCGAATTCCAGAACATTTTCATCATCCCCAAAATAAATCTTATACCATTAGCACTCACTCTTTTTTCTACTCTTCAGTTTTCTGCAGCCCTAGGCTACCATTAAATTCTCTGTCTCTATAGATTTGCCTATTTCAGATATTTCATATAAACAGAATCATACAATATGTGGTCTTTTGTGACTTTTTTTACCTAGCATAATATTTTCAGGGTTCATGTATGTTGTAGTGTGTATCAGTATTTCATTCCTTTTGATTGCTGAATAATATTCCATTTTAAGGTTATATCACATTTCAGTGATATCCATTCATCAGTTGATAGACACTTGGGTTGTTTTTACTTTTTGGCTATTATGAATAATGCTGCTATGAACATTGTGTACAAGTTTTTCTGTGGACATGTCTTCAGTTCTCTTGGGTATATACCTACAAGTGGAATTGCTGGATCATATGATAACTACTTTTAACATTTTGAGAAAATGCCAAACTTTTCCAAAGTAACTACATTATTTTACAATCCTGCCAACAATGTATGAGAGTTGCAGTTTCTCCACATCCTTGTCAACACTTGTTATTGTCTGATTTTTGGATTATAGCTATCCTAGTATGTGTGAAATAGTGTGTCACTGTGGTTTTGATTTGCCTTTCCCTAATGATGTTGACCATCTTTTCATGTGTGTTGGCACATCTTTTGTACATCTTCTTTTAAGAATTTCTATTCAGATCCTTTACTCATTTTTATAATGAGCTGTCTTTTTATTATTGATTTGTAAGAGTTCTTCATAAATTTTATTATTGAGTTGTAAGAATTTTTATCAGATTTATGATTTACAGTTATTTTGTCCCATTGTGTAGGTTGTCTGTTCACTTTCTTAGTGGTATCATTTGAAGCACAAAAGTTTTTAATTTCAGTGTAGTCCAGTTTATTTTTTCTTTGGTTGCTTGTGCTTTAGGTGTTATCTAAGAAACCATTGCCTAACACAGGTCACAAAGATTTATTCCTATGCTTTGCTAAGAGTTTTATAGTTTTAGCTCTCATATTTAGGTCTCTGATCCATTTTAAGTTAAGTTTACATATGGTGTGAGGAAGAGGTCCAACTTCATTCCTTTTCATGTGGCTATCTCTTCTGTTTTTAAGGTAACAAGAATGTGGTAACCAGAGAGCACTTAGACCGTATGAAGAATAGCTGCATCGTTTGTAACATGGGACATTCCAACACGGAGATTGACGTGGTAAGTTCAAGTGACTCATCATTGGTTTTTTTTTTTTTTTTTTTTCTCTCTCCTTCCCAAGAAACATAAACTAGAAGAAGAAAGAGCAGGGTCACCAGCCATCGTAAACATGACTGTGCTGGTAGAGCTGTTCACAGTCTGTTCACTCACTAGCCTTATGGCTTGTGCGTATGGATTCTACAAAGCTTCTTTATCTCAACTTAATCATTTCAAATGATTGGTTTTTTTCCACCTAAGCTTGATACCTACTTGTACTGTAAGCCATTTTATCTTTATGATTAGGATTAAGAGCTGGGTAAACTCAAAACTACAAAAAGGATACAATAAATGTGAGTCAGTATGCTAGTCAGTATTTTGGAGAGATTTGATTTTGCCATAAAGGTGAGATTAGTAGGTTGGCCCAAGGAAACAAGTCAAGGGAGGGAAATCTATGGGCTGGGGTGAGAGCACTGCTTAAGATTGACTGTGTCTGTCAAATATGGTGGTTTCCCTTTTCTCTCCCTCTTTTATGGGGCTAGGTCTCCCCTTAACATATTTTCCAAACTCAATCAATTCAGTAGCATGTGTTCCTCAAACCTGGAAAACCTATAGCTATGGTTCTCTAGTTTTATTATAGTCACCTAAAATTTTCTGATCCAACAGAACATTTGATCCTACTAAGGTGCTCAAGTAATAGTTAATAGAAGTGTTATTTATTTCTTTTCAGACTTACCAAAGTATCTCTCAGTGTGACTTTCACTCTGGTTTTAAGTTTTTATGGCATTTTTCTGACACAACTGTATTTCTCTCTGAGTAAATGGCTCAAGCAAAGCATGCTTTCATCTCCACTGAGGGCTGCTCTGATTGAGCTTCAGCATTGCCAGGTAAGGATCAGTTGATATACTGAGAGCCTGTGGGATATCTATTTTAAATGGTTTCTCTTTTTAACTCTGTGCTCTATTCTTCTGTTATTAAAAATAGCTGGGAAAACAACCTACCAAAGCCTGTTTCTACCCTTGAGGTTTTGGAGTGGCATGGCTCCATTACTCTGTCTTACCATGATATTTTGCTTATAATGAGTAATTTATTTAGTTTGTGTTTTTGAGGGATTTTTTGCTGTTGTTGTTTTGAGGGATTTTTTGTGTTTTTTTTGTTTGGTTTGGTTTTTTGGTTAAGTTTCACTTTTGTGCCATACTGCCCGTTTACTAAATGGTCAAAGGTATCAATATTTCTAAAACTATCTAGCCTATGATTGTCCTTTTCTGGATTGATCTGCTTGTAGAGCCCCCAGATGGAAAAAGCTTAAAGGGAAGTGGTCATGCTCTGAGCACTGAAGTGAAATCTTCTGAGTAAGCGAACAGGGAAGGAATTTCCGTTCTAAACCCTCAAGAAGCTCTAAAATAAAGATAATTTCCATGCAGTCATGTAATTTTTATATTTTTACTTTATCTCATTTCATCCTCTTGACCACCCCACGAGGCAGTATTCTTATTCCTGATTTTCAGTTGGGAAAATAAAAGCTTAAGTACATTGTTCAGTCATAGCCGTTGGTTCAAAAATGAAATTGAAGCACAAAATTCAGGTTTTTTGACTTCAAGTCCAGTTTTTTTGTTTTTCTGTATGTTTTTGTTTGTTTTTTTAGTTTTTTAGTTTGGTTTTTTGTTTTGTTTTTTGGCCGTGCTTCACAGTTTGCAGGATCTTAGTTCCCTGACCTGACCAGGGATTGAACCTGGGCTCAGGCTCAGGCAGTGAAATCGCCGAGTCCTAACACTGGACTACCAGGGAATTCCCTGTTTTTCTGTATGTTATACTATGATCTCCTCATGCTTTTTAGATTACCTTCAAATTGTGGTGGTAATCTCTTCTCCAAAGGCAGCCCAGATATAAGTAATCTCTCAGGATAAAGGCCAGGAGACTCTTTACCTTCAATCATAAATATTTATTGTGTGATTGCTATATGCCAGGTCTTGCTCTATATGCTTGGGATCAGTGCACAAAACAGGCAAAGATTCCTACCCTCTTGGAACTTATATTTTAGTGAGAAAAAGGACAATAGACATAATAAGTAAAACCTATAGTATGTTAGAAGGTGAAAGCACCGTAGAAAAAAGAAAAAGCAGAGCATGGTAAGGGGAAATCAAGAGTGCTGGGTTGTAATTTTAGATAGAGGGATCAAGGTATAAGCCTCATTAATAAGGTGATGGTTGAGCATATCTGAAGGAATTAACCATGTTGACTTTTAGGTGAAGGACATTTCACGATGAGGGAACAGCCCCAATGCCCTAATGCCCCAATGCGCGAGTTGCCTAGTCTGTTTGAGGATCAACAATGAGGCCAGTATGACTAGAGCAGAAGAGCATGGGGCGGGCTTCCCTGGTGGCACAGTGGTTGAGAGTCCGCCTGCCAATGCAGGGGACACGGGTTCGTGCCCCGGTCTGGGAAGATCCCACATGCCGCGGGGCGGCTAGGCCCGTGAGCCATGGCCGCTGAGCCTGTGCGTCTGTAGCCTGTGCTCTGCAATGGGAGAGGCCACAACAGAGAGAGGCCCACGTACTGAAAAAAAAAAAAAAAAAAGAGCATGGGGCAGGGAAGAGTGGAAAATGAGGTCAGAGAGGTAATTAGCCACATCTTATAAGACCTCAGAGGCCATTGTAAGAACTCCTGATTGTGTTCTGAGAGGAATATGGAGCCACTGTAGGATTTATGCCTTCTGTTTTAAAAGGATGATTTTTTATTTTAAAAGTGTCACCCTGGCTGCTGCATTGAGACTAGACCTACTTTTGCAGGTATTGCTAGGTAGCCCCAGTATCTGCGACTGCCACTAGCCAAGAGCCATCTTTCAACTCTCTTCGTGGTCTTCTTAGCAGAAAGTATATGACTAAACTAAGTGGTCCAGAAAGGAAGATGTTCAGAATGACTTTGGAAAAGTTTAATTATGCAACTTTCAATGTAGTGTCGGGCATGCAAAGTGAAATTTAAGGAAATAGCAAACTCAACTAAACATTGATTCCAGAATGTTCATTCACTACTTAGCAAATTTGTGTTGAGTACTCGCTCTGCTCTGTGCTAAGTACTAATTGGCTGAAGAAATAACAGTGAACAATATGCCTGCTTTCCTGGAGCTTATATTCTACTGTGGGAAACAATTACTAAATAGACAGTTATGGACTTCCCTGGTGACACAGTTGTTAAGAATCTGCCTGCCAGGGCTTCCCTCGTGGTGCAGTGGTTGAGAGTCTGCCTGCTGATTCAGGGGACGCGGGTTCGGCCCCGGTCCGGGAAGATCCCACATGCCTGCGGAGCGGCTGGGCCTGTGAGCCATGGCCACTGAGCCTGCGCGTCCGGAGCCTGTGCTCTGCAATGGGAGAGCCACAGCAGTGAGAGGCCCGTGTACCGCAAAAAAAAAAAAAAAAAATCTGCCTGCCAATGCAGGGGACATGGGTTCAAGCCCTGGTCTGGGAGGATCCCACATGCCGCAGAGCAACTAAGCCCGTGTGCCACAACTACTGAGCCTGCACTCTAGAGCCCGCGAGCCACAACTACTGAGCCCATGCGCCACAACTGCTGAAGCCCATGCGCCTAGAGCCCGTGCCCTGCAACAAGAGAAGCCACCACAATGAGAAGCCCGCACACCGCAATGAAGAGTAGCCCCCACTCGCTGCAACTAGAGAAAGCCCGCACGCAGCAACGAAGACCCAACACAGCCAAAAAAAAATAGGCAGTTATTTTCAGTTAGTGCCTAATACTAAAGTAAAACAGAAAGATGAGGACATTGAGGTTGCTATTTAATTAGGGTGATCAAAGAAGGTGTCTTTGAGGAGATAACATTTGAACAAAAACTTGAATGACCATTCTATTCAGAGAGAATGGTGAGTCAAGACCATGAGGTAGAAACATGCTTGATGTGTTTGAGGAACAGAAAAGGTGCCATTGTGGCAGGAACAGAATGGGCAAGGGGATGAGGATAAGAGGCAGCAAGGTTATGTAGAGTTTCGTAGGCCATGGTACGGACTTTAGATTTTATTCTGCATACAAGTGAAGCCATTGGAAGGTTTTGAGTGGGTGACTGATGAAATCTGACATATGTTTTAAAAAATAACCTTGGCTGTTGTATGAAGAAAACACTTCTGGAGCTTGAGTGGTGATAGGGACGATAGCAAACTCTTTCAGTATTTCCAGCAATAGAAGGAGGTAGCTTGGATTAGATGGATAAACAATGGAGGTGATTAAGAAGTGATGTATTGTGAAGGTAGGACCAGTGGGCTTTGCTACATGGATTGGATGCAGAGTGTGATAAAAAGAGATGAATCACTGTAAGTTAACTCAGCAAAACTGGGAAGGAAAATGACTTGGTAAATTTTTATCCAGAGTTTTTAGTGATCAAAAATGTAAGGATCTTTTTTTGTGGAGGAATTTACAGTTTACCTAACCTTGAGATGTTGACTGCTGCATTTTAAGGAAGCAATTGCTCATGGAAAGAGTTGGTCATTTAGAAAACTGTATTTTTTTCTGAAAAATAATACCATGAATACTTAGGGGACCTGTGATAGGGATGTGCTCTTAGCTGCCTTTTGTCCAAGTCTCTCTGTCACATACTTCCTTTCTCTTGAAAAGAAACCTGCTTACCCGTATATATCACATAGACAGCCTGTGTGACTGTAAGCTTCACAGTTCAGGTGGTTAAACCATTATGTGCACATACTTTAAAAGTTTTTGCCAGCCTGGGCTACACTGGTGGCGCAGTGGTTAAGAATCCACCTGCCAATGCAGGGGACATGGGTTCGAGCCCGGGTCCGGGAAGATCCCACATGTCGCGGAGTGGCTAAGCCTGTGCGCCACAACTACTGAGCCTGCACGCCTAGAGCCCGTGTTCCGCAACAAGAGAAGCCACTGCAGTGAGAAGTCCGCGCACCGCAACGAAAGTAGACCCCGCTCGCCACAGCTAGAGGAAGCCTGAGTGCAGCAACAAAGACCCAATGCAGCCAAAAGTAATAAATAAATAAAGTAAATAAATTTTTAAAAAAAAGTTTTTGCCAGCCAGAGAATTACAGCCTGAGACTTGCTACTGACTCCATGCTTCGCAGGACTAGAACCACAGCTGTTCTCGGCTTTACAGTGGGACGTACACCTAGTTTGGGAAGGGAGTGGGCATAGGGGACCTTTTTCCTGGTAGATTGCTTAGTGATTATAAATCCACAGAAAAGACATTGGATGTCTTTAAGAGAAATTCTTGTAAAACTGTGCTAGCCATAGGAAACACTTCTCTCAAGGAGTGTAAATGCCAAATAGACTTTAATAGTTTATTGGAACTGCATGGGCAGTGCTGGGGATAACTTAACCAAGTTGCTCTTCAAACCCCATTTTAAACCCTCAGGTCTTTTGCTTGCATCATAGCCATCCCAGTGCTCTAGTAAATTGCCTCTACTAAGCACTGATCATTTTTATGATGTTCCTAAGAAGTTCCCTTTCCTTGATTCCACCACATCTTTTTTCCCAGGGAATATTTCCTAAGACAAGAGACTCTTGTTATCATTGTGTCAGCTCTTTGGTTGCAGTCATCAAGATTGCTTGTCCAATGGAAGATTGGGAGTATGAAACATTAAGAACTTGAAATACTTAAAGTCCCATTATCTCAATAAAAAAATTGCTAGTGTTACCAAAGAGTATATCTTGGCTCTACATGGTTATTGTCCTCCATGGTGATATTTCTAAAGGCTGAGGGATTTACTCTGTATATCCTTAACGTCCCCAAATTGCCTATTTGCTTAAATTCTTTTTAACTCTATTTATAGTATTTATTTATAAAATTTCTTTTTAAAATCTTAATTTTAAAGTAGTACTTCCTCAATTTAAAATTCAAGCAACATAAATACGTATAAAGTAAGAAGCAAAAAATTGAGGTTACAGCATATTATTTCTGCAACTTGATTTTTTCACTTAATAATGTATGGTTTTCATGTTAACAAATACAGATCTACTAATTTCTATTTTTTTTTGAGAATTACATTATATTCCATTGTATGGAATTATCCTGATTTACTTAGCCATTCCCATGTTGATTTACATTTTTTGCTATTATAAATAATGTTGGGTTAAACATTCGTGGGCACTTATATTTCTGAACTTGAACAAGTATTTCTATAGGATAGAGCCCTAAAAGTGAATTTGATTGGTCAAAGATTAGGTACATATGAAATTTTGTTAGCTACTGCCAAATTGCCCTCTAGAAAGGTTGAACTAATTTATGAAACTTGACATCGGAAGAGATTTTATATTTCCCATCTACCTAATAAAGAAATGGTCCAGACCATTAATAAAGTCCTGAATATACTGAATCTAATTATAATTATATGTCTTTCTTTCCCACTAGATTAGTAAAGAAAAGAAGATACAGTCCCTGTCAATAAACAGCTCACAGTCTAGTAGAGGAGTCCACAGTCTTATCTATAATAGTGTTCTTTGCTATAATGCCTAGCATACAGTATGTACTCCAGTAAATGATTGTCATATAATGGAAGTGTTTCTCTTTATTTGTCTGATAACTACTATTTGGCAGAACTTCTCAATTTTACCAACTTGAGCCAATGGGTAGTCTCAGAGTACAGACTCCCTTTCTATTTTAGGCATTGCCTCTTGGAAGAAGGAAGTTGTTGCCTTAAGTCTAAACCCTGTGACTGTTATTTGATTACTGCTGTTAATAAACTTAACATTTCTTCTCTTCTCGGAATATACAATATACAGAAATGGAAGGAGGGTGAGCCATTGGGAGCTTTACTCTACCATTAAGCATTGCTCTAAAGGCTACCTCACATTTGCACTTAGGTCACAAAGCTTCTGTAACTTTAGGGTGAACCACCATCATTGAGAAGGTGGAACCTGGGATGTTGGGACATGAGAGCAGAACCTTGGGCCCCGGCATGCTATGTGTAGGACATTCATTCTTCTCTAACTAATCTCACTCAGCTCTGACCCTCCTGTTTTCTGTGTCTCTTCAGCACTTATGTATCCAGTTTGCACTGTATTAATTTGCACTTGTTTGCATGTTGCTTCATAAGTATTAAAGGCTTTTATCCCCTCGCATATGTATTGTTTCGTGTCCCGAACTAAAGTATGAGCTTTTTGAAGGCGGAAACCATGTCTTTGGTTTCTTTTGTATTTCCCGTAGCACCTTTTACTGTGCTCAGCAGAGAGTGGGCGCACAGTGTATGTTGTGGAATGACATCCTGAGTGATCTCTCCCTGGCTGGGCCTAAGATTAAATTCCCTGAAATGGAACAGTCCTAACCAGCCCAGGACAGGTATTCTCCATCTGGCATGTTGGTTGCTTCTTTCAACTTGCTATCTGAAATGGCTCCCTTCGACATCTTTCCATCCAGAAAGTGGGACTTGGCATGGCTGATGGTGTGCTTGCTGTATTGTGTTCCAGGCGAGTCTTCGGACACCAGAACTGACCTGGGAGCGAGTGAGATCCCAAGTTGACCATGTAATATGGCCTGATGGCAAGAGGATAGTGTTGCTGGCAGAGGTAAGACCTGAGGCTGGAGAAGTTCACCCCTGACAGGAGAGACAGCAGTACCCATGCCTCCTCCCCCTCATGTTCTCTCATACTTTCAACTCCTCTTAAGAATAAGCTTAACTACTTTACCAATGGATTTTACATCTAATTGTGAAAGGTCTTTTCATTCAGCAATTAAGAAACTATTTTGGTTCCCCACTTTTCACCAATTATCCTGTCTCTCTATGTCACTCTACAGGTTGAGTCAGACAATGGCTTATTACTGTGGAAGGAATTAATGGATAGAACCATTGCCACTTTGAGTGATGCTTATAAAGAGATAATGTTATTTGTGGGATGGTTTAATCAGGAAGCACAAAGTAGATATTTCTGACTGTAACTAAGATAATCTTAGGCAAACTCTGAGAAGGTCATGTCTTTGCTAATAGATTCCCTGTTTCTGAGTGTCCATTCCCCTAAACTGAGCCAGACGTGTAGTAGATACCCAGCTATGTATTGGTTGTGTGATTGATATTTCCCTTTCCTGGCTTCTTCTAGCTCAGCCTTACTCTTGACTTTCAGGCCACTTAGACTCCCATGTCAATGTTTGGCCACTTTTCCTTTCTTGACAGCTTCTCTTTCCTATCCTAGATTTCTGACAGCTGTAACAATGCCCCCTGTTTTTACCTTAACACTTTCTCTTCTTCAGGGAAAGATACCAAGATTACAAGGGGGACAATAATACTTTCCTTGAGTTTTGATTTTCAGCCTTTTTTTTAATTAAAGAAACTGAAAATGAAAACATATACTGTCTTCATCTAGAGGCCTTTAAATTTATTTTTGAGTCTTCTTCCTATTCTCTTCACTTTTTCTCACCTTATCTCACCTTCTCAAATACTTTAGGGCATCTATAAAGTATGTACAGGAGTGTGTACAGGGAGGGGACTGGCAGGTTGTTAAATATTCACTAATTGCTTTAAAGTCAGCCCACTGTCTGGTAACTTATTTCCAGGTCCCATCTAGTAATTTTGGTGACAAAAGCTAGCACCATAGTTGTTTTTGGCTACAATGGTTGAGCAGAAAACGTGGTCAAGCTTCCTAGGAAATAAAGTAGGAAAGAATGGCATTGGGGGGAAGGTTCTAGTCATTCTAACTCTCTGAATCACCCACTGGAAATACATAAGTGCCCTTGAATTCAGGAGAACCAGGTTGAGGAAAAAGCACAGAAACCATCACCGCTTCCTAAGTCAAAAAATGTCTCCCACCACGACCTGGAGAGGTTGCCCTTGGATTTGACCAGATCGTTGTTTAGGACAGTTTTTCGAAGGAATATCGATGCCTCAGAAGGAAGATATTCTGTTGTAGAAAGTAGAAAATTCAAGGGAAATACACCCTCCCTTGGCATAAGCCTCAGTATCATGTGACTATCTCTATTCCTTTTTACATAAACGCAGAGATCTTTTATCTTATTATCTTCATCAGATTTTCCAGAATTTCTTAACATTTCACTCAAATGTCAATCAGTTCATTTCCACTGACTGAACACCTGCCTTTTGTCCAGCATGTTAGTTGGGAAGTGTTTGGAAAATGGCTGTCGTGTTCTTCCCTCACTCCTCAAAGCCAGAGACTTCATCTAACCAACCCATTTGTGTGTTAACCTTTGCTTTCTAGGGCCGTCTGCTAAACCTAAGCTGCTCCACAGTGCCTACATTTGTGCTCTCGATCACCGCAACTACTCAGGTAAGGCCTCCAGAGTGGGGAAGCAGTGGGCTGGAAAGAGTCATTAGCCCATCAGGGTTTCACTTGATATGGGGTAGATTGCTGTGAATGGCACGTCAGCATCCATTTCTCTGCTTTTCTAGGCTCTTGCCTTGATAGAACTCTACAATGCTCCTGAGGGTCGCTATAAGCAGGATGTCTACCTGTTGCCCAAGAAAATGGGTAAGCATGAGTTCTTCTATCCCAGTCCTTACCAAGTAGTTCAGAGTCAGAGGCTAAGGGAAGTTTGGGGGCATTATATTTCTTAGGGATAGAAAAAAGATATCTTCATCTTGTAAAGTAGGAGCTAGGATTCTTAGATTTCATCCACAGTTGATTTATCACGTTTTCCAAATAGGTTGTCCTAATGAAGTAAGGACATTTTGCTGTGATTTAGTTTACCTGCATGTGAATTTTAAGGATTTTCCCAAAGTATCTATTACACAAGAAAAAAATCCCAAAGGAAAAAAAAAACTCTTCCCCCCACAAGAAAGAGGAATCATCTCCTACCTTGTGACATCTGACTTACTCCAGTCCTAGGCTGCTAAGTAGCTCCTACCAAACTTTTCTCAGACCAAGAAGACTTTCATACTACACCTTCTAACTCTGACCCTGTTGCTTCAGGCCAAAGGAAAGACTCTGAATAGCTTCAGTTAAGAGTTTAGTTATGTGGCCATTTCGTATAGGAGAAACATTAAACTGTCTTAAATTTTTAACGAACCTGCTTCAAACACCTGAACTGATACCGTATGTTTATAAACTCCCAAGCCAAAGATCAGGGAATAAATCAGCTTCTGGTTTTGTTTTGCTTCAGCATTAGATGCACAGCAACTGTGAGAAGTTGACATATTATCCCTTTAATAGACACCTTGGAAGAATATAAAAAAGTAGAACAGTCCATAACTGAATGTATAATGAAGTTAGGGAGAGCAAACAAATACATAGGAAATGACTCAAAATTCTGAATAAGCAATATGTATTCAGGTAAGAGAATGTACATAGAAACCCATAAGAACTAAGGGTGTAGTGTCCTTCTCAGTCACTCCTTTCGGAGCTCCCCAAGTGTTAGTTTTTCTGAGTGACCTAAAGTATAAAGTACAAGGCAGAACTAAAGTTGGAGCTTCCTGTTTTTGAGTCCACCCACTGTCCCATCCTTTCTTTTAGACTCTAAGGCCTATTGCTTCTTTCATTTCTCACTTTTCTGGGGAGAAGGAAAGGTTCAAGGCTGAAACAGCTTGTGAGGAAGAAATGTTATGACTTTGGAAAGCACTGGGCTTAAGCTCAAGCAACCATTCCTTAGAATTGAGGTCCAGTGAGCAAAAGTTAAGCATTTTTCATTCAGCTCCGAGAATTAGAAGGTGTCTTCCAACTTTTTAAGGCTGGAGAGAACAGCCAGACAAGAGGCAAGAATGCTTATACCAGGTCTTTTGTGATCTTTTGTTCCAGATGAGTATGTGGCCAGCCTACACCTGCCCACCTTTGATGCCCACCTGACCGAGCTGACAGATGAACAGGCCAAGTATCTGGGGCTCAACAAGAATGGGCCCTTCAAGCCCAATTACTACAGGTGCCTTGGACTCCCCATAAAATAGGGAAGCCTGAGTAGTGATGAGCTTCCTGCACTGGAATTGGTCTTTTCATCCATCACCATATTTACATGAACTCAGGAAAATAAACCCACTCCCCCTCACTACCACCCCCAAATGATTCTTTGAGGCCTTCTCCAGACATTAAACAGTGTTCCCTTTCCTGAATTTGCCACTTCATCTTCTTGATTTGATGTTTACCCCTGTATGGAGAAAAACTGGCCTTCTTCATTGATGTGAAAAAGCACCACATTTATCTACCCTCACCATACACTGCAGAAAAGTCCCTGCCTCCCCGTTATACCTTTAGGCCGGCTCTTCACGTCCCAGCATCCCCACAAGCTGATAACATCACAGTCTCATCTTTCTTTTTTCCTGCAGGTATTAAGTTCCTGTAACTCAAGCCAGAAGAAGTTTTAAGGAATAGAACTCCAAGTCTTTTCTCCACTCCTATACAGGAAAGAACCCAGCAAGCTGCTTCTCCAGTCAGCTGCCTGCCGTGCTCACCCTATATGTTAGGTTATTTATTTATTAACCTAAATAATAAATGTCGCCTTGGCCCAGAGTGTGGTTGCTGTCCTGAGGGCTGTGAGAGCCGCAGAGGACAGGCTGAGGAAGGAAAGAAATGGGGTTCCCAGTGGACCTTTTGAGTCATTCCCCACTGACTCTGAATCCTCAGCACTGGGCATTGTTCTCTTGTCCAGGCTCAGGAGTTAGTCCATGGATTCCAGACTCCTCCTTCTCTGAGGTTTTCTGGAATAAATTTTTAGCAGCTGCCTTTCTCAGCTTTGTCCCTTCCCCAGGTGAGTCTTTTGGAAGCCACTGAATTAACATGGCCTGGGTTCCCAGCCTTGACCATCACTATCACTGCCTTCTTTATAAAATGGAAGGAAGGAAGGAGTGTTGTGGCTTTGGCAAGCTACACAAAGAACTCAGCTGTGCCTCTGTTTCCTGGGAGTCTCCTTCCTTACCCAGGACTCCTTTCTTCTCCTTGAATATTTATGTCCCTTTTAACAATTTCAGGTTCCAAGAGGAATGTGCCTCTATTATTTCCTCAACAGCTCTGATGTTTATCAGACATTTGTTTTGCCCTCTTTCTAACCCAACTAGCCTCTGCTCAGGAAGTGAGGGCCAGCCCCACTGGGGCCCATAATTTTACTTCCTTGTCATTTAACTGGATAATTTCCCAGGAAGCTCCCTACAGATTGGCACTGTCTCAGAAAAGGAGGCTTGTTGTGAAACACTGCTTCCTGAAACTTCCTCCTATTGCCTAAAACTCCTTCTGAAACTGAGCAGGGAAAGGCTTACTTTCCAAGGGATTTGGGAGAGCAGGGCTTCAGAAATGCGACAGATCTTTCAGACCCACAGCTCAACACCCTAAAGAAGCAGAATATATTTATTTGTCTCCTGGGAAGGGCTTTGCAGCTTAACTGGCTAAGCTATACAGAGATGACACCGTAAACTGAATCCAGATGATCAAAGCTAGTTTGAACGTCGTCAGACATTCATCCCTTTGGCCATTGCCATTGAATATGAAACTGAGATCTAATGCCTCTGCAATTTGGTCTGTGGTCTTTCTTCTCTGCTGGGATATCTTTTTATGTTCTGGCCATCTTGGGTTTCTGTATTCCAGAGGTAGTTTCTTGAGTAACTCCAACATTACAAAAAATTTGTAATGTGAGCAGCCTGAAATTTTGTGTCCCACCTAAGAGTTGGATTCCTTTTAGAGACTGACCTGTTGGTATTAAGGGTTCCATTGGGACCAGATTGGTTCTAAGAGTTAAAGTCTGGAGTGGTCCTAGGAATCTTAAATGAAATGAGTCCTTTTTCCCCCTGCTAACCCTGTTTAACACTCTCAGTTTTGTTTTTCCATTTTTCCCCTATCCTGGTCTGCCTCAAAGTCTCAAGACCAAGGTGACCCAAGGAAACACCAGACCACCCACGATCACCATAACCTTCCCACCCTAATTCTGCTCTCCGATTTCTACCTTCTCTATCTTCTCCTGGTCTTCACATATACCCACAGAGCTAGTCTGGAAGTGACCTTCCCTTTGGAGGTAGGGCGGTGGATCTTAGGTAAATGGTTGTTTGCCTCACTAAATAGTACACAGTCTCAGCCCATAGAATCTAGTTCCTCAGAGGCCGTATGTCTTAGCAAGTACTGGAAAAATGCCACATGCGTGGCTATATTCTTTCATGGAGAAGATCATAAATGCTGAAAATCCCACTAGGCCATTCAATTCTTCCTTTTGCCCACCCTGTTCTGGCTTTTGTTTTAATTAATTGAATCCCTTTAACAGAAGATTCAGAAGATGAAATTTGTGTCTCATCTTATATCCAGAGAAGATTCCATTAGGCAGATATCTGGACTCTAGCTTATTATGTTCTTAAGCCAAAGTCATAACCTGCTGTTTCTCAGCAAAGCCTGGCTGCCTGTGGAGCTTACTATGTGCTGATCCTGACAGGACATACTCTGCCTTGAAAATGTGAAGAGACCCATTCCAAATGAAAAAGAGCCACACTGGGCTTCTAGGTTAGGTTGCCCATGTTGCTACCCATGGTGAGGTATTTGCCTCTGAGTTTCAGGTGACCACTCTTCGTCTCTTTCTGGGGACTCTGTGTCATAACCATTAAGGAAAAGGAGGTCCAGGCCTCCTGAGTATTTGGGTTCTACCTTGGTGTTGGAATTTGGTTGTTATTCTTTCTGCCCGTGTAATCAGAACAAATGCATCTTCTTCCCTCGAGCTCTCACCTCAGATGCATCCTAGGTATCTGGAAGCATGGGAAAGAAGACTAATTAGCTCTTTATATGTGACCCTGGCCTGTGGGGAATCTTACCATTTTCTCTGCAGTGAATTTGTGCTAGTTTTCAAGGTTTTTTGCCTTCTTAATGGAAATACTGTTTTCTTTTTCTCATTTAAAAAAAAAGTATCTGGTCTACCTTTCCTCTGCCCTCCGACCTCCTCGTCCTCCCCTCCCATATGAGCACGGCTCCCCATGGCCACATACTCCTGCAAAGCTTTTTTGCTGCTTGGCTTTTCTCTGAACAGATCTGAAATTGCTGCTCCTGTGGTTTTCTCAAAATTAACTTTGTCATGGTTTTAAAAAAGAAATCAAAATGCATTGTTGCATTAAGCTTTTTTAATAAAGGAAAATTACAGGAAAAAATAGGCAACACCAGCAAATTATATGTGGACAAGTTCTAAACTATATATACATACATATATATGTAAAATCATCTAGTTCTCATTGTCATCTTACTGAAAGGAAATAAAACCTCTAAAGATTGCCATATCTGAGAGGCTCTTGGAAATCTTTATGTCTAAGTGATTGTATTAGATCAGCAATAATGAATATGTAATCTCAAAAGATAAATAAAATATTCTTAAAATGGATTCTTGTACTGAGAGTATTCCTTGCTTCAGTGAACTAGGAATTTAGAGATGAGAGAGGCTTCTGGGCAACAGGCTAGAGAGCCTGCTGTAGCACAAGGATGTGAAAAGCTGAAGCACTTACCAATAGGCATGTTTAAGTGTCCTTAGCCTTGAGTCCCTTGTTCCATGGTGGGTCATTCCACTCATAAATATCACCCTTCCCCCACTGCCCACCCCATTATGTGTATAAAGAACCTGCTTTCGTAAAGCGACTACTCTGGGTGAGTTGAGAAGTATAGGCTTAAGGCAGAGAAACTAAAGCTTGGTTCTTGGTCCCCCAAGCCCTCTGTGTGCTGCCATAAGCTGGAGAGCACAAAAAGGAGCCTCCTGTGGTTTGGGACCAAAAGACCCTGACTACAGGACCTGACTATGACATCCAACCAAAGAGAAGAAAGAAATGAATCTAGCAGAGAATTGTCTCCAAGTCAGGTTTTGCCTGAGTAAATCATAACCAGAGGATGAGTCCAACTGCCTGTTCTTTCTCTACCAGTAGAGTAGCCATTTTTGAGAAATAGCTACTAAAGATAGCTACTTTCTTTAGTTGACAACCTAAACAAGCTCTGTATCCTGTATGCAAGATGTTTTCTTCCCTATCAGAATCTCATGCCACTTTGACTTCTGTTTGTCTAAACTAAGGGCCACAGGGCTGGAATAGCCTGGGCAATTGGTAATGGTTCAAAGGTGGCCCATTCTCAAAGGAGAATGCAGCAGCTAGCATGGAGCCTGTAAACCAGCTGGCAGGATTTGCTCCACTACAGCAAGGTTGTTTTGTTGGGTTTTTTTGCGGTACGCGGGCCTCTCACTGCTGTGGCCTCTCCCATTGCAGAGCACAGGCTCCGGACGCACAGGCTCAGTGGCCATGGCTCACGGGCCCAGCCGCTCTGCAGCATGTGGGATCCTCCCAGACGGGGGCACGAATCCGTGTCCCCTGCATCGGCAGGCGGACTCCCAACCACTGAGCCACCAGGGAAGCCCTACAGCAAGGTTTGACTCCTCTTTTGTGAAGGATGGAAACTTCAGTGCCTCGGTCTTAATTTCAGATTCACAGGGTAATCCCAGGCTGCCCACTGCTGTGCAGTTTCTCAATCTCGTGATGTTGTGGAAAGAGCTTGGAGTCAGGCTGACTTGACCAGCTCTACCATTTACAAGTTGTGTGACTCGGCCAAATTATATAACCATTCAGAGCCTCAGTTTTCTTGCCTGTGAAATGGATAATGCTTATCTCCTAAAGGTTTAATGACCTGATTTAATTTTTAAAATACTGCTTACAGACCCAGCAAACACTAGGTACTACATAAATATCGATTCCTTGTCTCAGCCTAGGGCCCTACAGCCTGAATTGCCTCATTACACCCACATGTGCTCTTTATAGGGCAAAGAGGGTATTCTTATCCTTTTTCTATTGTACTATTTTATCCTGGCTGCCCGATACCCTCAAAAACTAGGTATTTTAAGACTTCCTGCAATCTTATTTTAAAGCTTTTTCAATGCCAGGTGTTATAATCACATATCCAACCAACCTCTGGATTAAAGTGGAGTGCTTATATGGGGAAAGGGGTATGTTTGGTCCTTGTAACTATACCTATTTATACCTCTAGCCCTCTGCCAGCAGCTTCAGAATACCTGAGTTTGGGGACAAGGGAAAGTGGTAGTGTGGGTTTAAAAATAATTCCACACTGGAGCCATCGCTGCAAGATGTGGACCAGTCCCTAATTAGCTCCAAGGTATATTTATGGGTACCTCTGTGGTCAGTGGTTGTTGTTGGCTGTCACTTCTTTGTTGACAAATAAGCTAAAAGAAATTGAGTGTGTGCCAATAACATGGCCCAGAGTTTCAAAGTTTTCAGTTAATCTGTTGTTTCTTGTTACTTCTTCCAGTAGTTGTTTCCAGATATCTTCCTCCTTATGATAAGCTCTGAAAGTCTGGGCCTCTAATGATTAGATAGATGTCTGATCTTTACTGGCTCCCATTCTACTGCAGTGTGGAAAAGATACTGGATTGAGGTCTCTCCCCATGTTGATTCTTTGCAATCTCCATAGCACTGCTTTTTTAAACCCCATCTCCCAAAGTGAAGCCAGATGGAGCTCTAGGCTCAGCAAATGGCTTTACATAAAGGCCAGAGGGGACTTGAGAGCTGTTGTCCTCAATTCTACTCCCAACTGAAGATTACTCTGCTCCCTTGGCCCTAGGGATAGGTTGGAAAAAGAACAAAACCTCAAAAGTAGCCACCCTGTATGTCACCATTGTTGGGGATCCTGATGATTGACTAGGCTCACAAAAGAATATGAAGTTCTGGGCTTGTCAATCCTAGAGCTCTGACTGCTTAGGAGGAGATATACTGGGAAGAGGGAAGGTAGAAAATAATTTTATTCAGAAGCCCCAATGGGTTGTGCTGTGGCAGGTTTACCACACTGAAGCAGTGATGAGCTAGGTGTGGGTTGTGAATTTTAAAGCAGAGTATGAATCTTTAAGAGTTTAACAAAATTATACCCTGAAAAAAATTCCAAAATCAAATAGTTTAGGCCTTGAGCCAGAGACTTTCTTAGAAATTCATATCGATTCAATTCTGTTTAAACCAGTAGGCCTCAACCACAGAAGATTTTGCCCCCCGCAACCCCACCCAGGGATATTTTGCAATATCTGGAAACATTTTTGGTTGTCACAGTTAGGGGGAGGGTACTGCTGGCATCTCGTGAAGAGAGGCCAGGGATTCTGCTAAACATTCTACAGTGCACAAAACAGCTCCCCACGACATTTTTCAGTCGATAGTACAGAAGAAACCCTGTGTTAAACACACAGAAATGAGCAATACACAGATGAACAAAAGCTACTCTCAGAGAGCTTATATCCAGGTTGAGGTGGGTGGGTGGTGGGAATGGGAGAGGAAAGGGAAAATTGTGGGTGGGTACAGTAAGGAGATGTTGGAGACCAGGGAGAGAAAGGAACTCAGAAATCTCCAAGGAGTGCTCACTCTCAACTCTGCCTTGATCTGTCACCTACTAATTAGCAGAGGAAAGTGTGAGGGAGAGGTATGATACAAGAAGGGGGGATAATTCCTTTGAGCCCCTTACTTTGAGGATATAGTAGAAAATATAAGGATTGTGGATCCAGGCAGACTTGGCTGACACCAGCACAGCCTGAGTAGGTTGATGAGGGTCAAAAGAAAGGCTTTCTGGAGAAGGAGGTGATGACTAAATAGAATTTTTAAGGAAGAATAGAAGTTAGCCAAGAGAAGAGCAGAGTTTCCTCCAGTGAGAGACACTGAAACAAGATATTAGAATATGATACCTTGGGAACTGCAAGCAAGGAGTAATTAGTCTCTGAGAGTCCCGGTTTCCTTGTCAGTAATATTGGATTAGTGAAAACAACCTGTAGGAGAGATATATCTGGAAAGAGTCTAGTGCAATGCCTGGAACAAAGTGGCAGTTCAACAATCCCCCCCCAACTTGTTTGGGGCTTCTATTACTATCCCAGACTGCACACATATTTACTGTAAGACGCTTTTTACGTAAGTTCCAAAGTGGGCAAACCACACAGCCTCATTTGCCCCAGGTAACACTGAGCCCTTAGGAAGGATCTTAGAATGAAGGAAAGGACTGGGGAACAGGTGGCGCTGGGGATTTGTACTCCAATCAACTTTTACTCCCTAGCTCACACTATGAGGAAGATGCACCCCTTCAGCAGAGAAAGGCAGATGGCCAGGAACAGCCCGGAAAGGCACCAGCAATTTCAGTGAAGTAAAAACGCCCCACTCCACCCCTCAACATCCAGTCTCCCAGTCAAGCCCTCACTCCGAGTGGAATGAGTTCGCCTCTGAAATCTCAGCTTCCAGAGAGGGAGAGTCGCTCGTTTCCTGCGGTGTCCCTGGCCACCCGGCGGTGCCATCCCTCCCCTTCGACTGAAGCGGGATTTGGAAAGTATTCAGGAGCCAGGACTTGGGGGCAGAGGTCTGTGATACTGGGGAAACGAAGACTGCAGTGGAGCAGCAGGCGGAGACTAGAGCTCCCCAAAACGATCGCTATTTGGGAGGGGGTGAGGGCTGAGTGACAACTAGTGAGAAGCAGAGCTGACCACCTAGAGCTCAAGGCCCAGGACGTGGGAGGTGGAGCTAAGAGCCGACCGCGGAGTGTCAGGCTACCAGCGACGCCGCGGGAGTGGGAAAAAAAATCCCTTGAATGAGCCCCCTCCAAGTCCCGCTCAGAGAGGTTGAACAGCCAATCGCGATGCAGGGTGGGGCTGCGGAGAAAGGTCTCAACCAATAGCTGTGGAGGGGGCGGGGCCTGGCTCCCGGCGCGCGGCGGCTGTGGGGTAACCCCTGGCAGAGAGCGCAGAGCGGCAGAGGGGAGCTGCTGAGGAGAGCCGCATGGAGGACCCCGCGGCACCCGGGTCCGGGAACCCGCCTGCCAATGGCTATGGCAACGGCAACGGCAACGGCGGCGGCAAAGGGAAGCCGGCGGCGCCTAAAGGCCGGGAAACGTTCAGAAGCCAGCGGCGGGAGTCGGAGGTGAGGAGCCCGGAGAGCTTTCAGTTGGGGCCGGGAGACGCCCGGGGCGAGAAGCGTTGGCTTAGGTGTTTCGGTCGCGTGCCCCTCCGCCGCCGGGAGACCCCTGCGCGCCCCGTGCCGCCTCTCGGAGCGGGCGCCTGCTGGCCACGCCGCAGCCTGAACTCCGGGCTCTGCAGCCCCTGACCCTCTCCGCCTGTCTCCTGCCGCGGGTCTGGGGCTTTCTAGCCCTCTGGCCTCCCTCGGGGGGCGCGAAGATAGAGCGTGATATCCAGCGTCCCGGATACTTTCACATATTTATCTCACTTAATCGCTGTAGCCCTCCGGAGTGGTAATTCGTAAGGCCGATTTACGGAGGAGGAACAGGCGCGGAGAGGTGAAGTGAGTGGCCTGAGGGGTGGGAGGCCGGAGGCCGGAGCCCGGCCGCAGTGAAAAGGGGCCGGCGTGGGGGCAGCCGCCCTCCCACCCCGAG